GAGCTAGCTGTGCTCCCCGTGTGTGCACACTCGGGTGTGCAGGGCTAGCTGTGCTCCCCGTGTGTGCACACTCGGGTGTGCAGGGCTAGCTGTGCTCCCCGTGTGTGCACACGCGGGTGTGTGCAGGGCTAGCTGTGCTCCCCGTGTGTGCACACTCGGGTGTGTGCAGGGAACGCTGTGCTCCCCGTGTGTGCACACTCGGGTGTGTGCAGGGCTAGCTGTGCTCCCTGTGCATGTACACTCGGGTGTGTGTCTGCAAGGACAGTGTGTACAGTGAGTACAGCTGTGTGTATGTATACAGACACACTTGTGTGAAGGTACAGGGAGTGTAAATATATGTACGTATGACAGTATCATAGAATATTCTGAGCTGGAAGTGACTCACCAGGATCATCAGCTGTAATTCCTGGCTCTTGCACAGGACATCAGGACAGCCCCAACAATCCCATATGTGCCTGAGAGCTTTGTCCAAACACTTCTTGAGCTCTGGCAGGCTTGGGGCCACGACTACTGCCCTGGTTGTTAGTGTATGTATGCACACTTGTGTGTATGTAGAGGGAGCATTGATATGTCTATATATGTGTATATACGTACACTTGTGTGTGGTATGTAGAGCTGGGCTACGTTGGAACAGCCCTGGTGGCACCACCTCAGAATCCTGGCTGTCCCTAACACTTCCAGGCATGATTAACCTCAGTGCTTATCCAGAAATCTATGGAGAAATGCCTCATGCCAGCATGATCACGATCTAAGGGTTTTTGCAAAGTGTTTCACATGCAGGCTATGCAGTACTATGTATGTATGCTTACCAGAAAAAGTATGTACCTTTTCCTGGTAAGCATAGTTAATCAGAGCAGGTTTTCCGATTTGCAGCCTGTTATGAAGCTTCTCTCAAACTAGGTGTCTTTCTTTGAATTCCAGTTACGTCATAAAAATGTTTGGCTTAATTTCTGCCAGTAAATAATGAAGCAATTTCTAGTGCATATAATTTTCTAATAATAATTATAATAATTTCAATTAATTAGAGATTCTAGTTACAGCAAATACTGAAATGGTTTATGCACATGGTTTGTGTACCTTGCACATCTGTACATATGAATTTAGCACTGAGCAGCAATCACATTTGCAGTTCACTCTTAATTCATTGCTTGTTCTGTTCTTGCAGGTGGTTCTCCTGGGGATTGACATCATCTCCGCACTTGTGTCCCGCTTGCAAGATCGCTTCAAGGCCCAGATTGGCACAGGTGAGGGGTCTCTGTGTGACCATCACTGCCAGCACCTGCACTGGCTGCTGGACTCAGAGATGTCTTTCTCCCCAGGAGAGCACTTGGGAGACTCTTGGTGGTTTTCAGGCCAAGTTTACTTGATAGGCTGGGAGATTCTAAGGACTCAGTGAGGGAGCAGGATCAGACCTTGCTGCTGAAAATCATGGAACAGGCTGCTAACCCTCAGGTATGTTCAGCAGTTCTCCACAGCATGGGTGACTAGCTGTTTAAAAAAAACAAAACCTTTTTAGTGTAAGAAAGTGTCACCTTTTTACTGCCATTTTTCTGTCTGAAATTACTTCATCTCTCTACACCTTGTTATAAGATTTTCTTAACTTGGGAAGGCTATTGCCTGACAGGGTACACATGGGATGAGAGCGTGTCAGTGGATTTCCCAAGGATGGGATGGATATATGTCAAGAGTTATTGTTTCAGGTTTTTGGAAGGTACTTGCTTTCTGTAAGTATGAGTATTGTTGTTATTATTTTAGGTAGGGGGGAGTTACTGTGAAGTCAGCACAAAAGAAAGAATTAGATCTAAAAGTATCTTGCTCCTTTTTGTCCTGTTCTGCTTGGATAGGTGTATAGCTTATATTTGATCTCCAGAGGTTGTGTGGTGTATGTCTGCTGGAAGATAGAATCTGTTTCTTATCCCATCTCATTTTTTCCCTTTCCTGTCTTGTGCAGTATGTGTGGGATAGGATGCTAGGAGGATTCAAACACAAGAATTTTCGGACAAGAGAAGGGATTTGCCTCTGCCTTATTGCAACACTCAATGCGTAAGTCAGAACCTTCTGCAAACCTGTGTTGTGTACATGAGCCTGCTCTGTGAATCATAATGGTGCTTTTTGTTCTTTATTCCCAGATCTGGAGCTCAGAGTTTAACACTGAGTAAGATAGTGCCACATATATGTAACTTACTTGGAGATCCAAACAGCCAGGTGAGCTTTTGCTGTGAGTCACATCTAAAGGCTGTGCTGATTGCCTTGTTGGTAAATAAGCTAATTGTGCTGCTGGTGGTGAGCTCTGAGCAATGCTGTGCACACAGAACCCTTGGCTGGTTTTGGAGAGCTACAATTTGAAGTGTGTCCAAACCAGCATATCAGTTACTCCAAAGGTTCGGCAGAATAACATGAATCTGCAGGTGAGATGAGAAGAAGAGGGAAATCTTTGTGGGAAGGGAACTCCTGTGCCTTGAAGCCTGAATACAAGGGAGGCTGCAGGGATCCCTCTGGGCCTAGTGCAGCACCCCTCACCTTCAGAGAGAAACCAGACTGGGCAGGGAGGGCAAATGGGGCCAGTCAGGCAGCCTGGCCATGTGCACTGCCAGCAGCTGTACAGGCAGTTTCTGAATAGGGGGTGAAGACAATCTGTACCAGGACCTTTAATCAGCGATGCAACCCAAATGAAAATACAAGTGGAATAAAATCTGTTGCTCCTCAGTGCTTTTTGTCTTGTTTGGAATTAGATACAAGTATGTGGGGTTAATGAGAAGAGGGAGATGGAGAAGTGTTCAAACTCATTGTGTAATGTGTACTAGCAGTTTTTGAATAATGTTGTTGGTTGTTCTGCCAGCATGGGTAACACATCTGTGATCCAGGTCTGGAGAAGGATGTTCAGCTAGAAGGAGGTATGGGGTGTCCAGCTGGAGAATGGGTTTATGTTTGCTCTGGGGAGTTGGTAATATTTCTGTGGCTCTCAGGGCCTCCCCTTGCTAAGAGGAGGAGTGAGAGTGAAGCAGCCTTCCTTTGCTGCTTGTGCCAGTGCAGGATGGTAAACCCATCACTCTAAGAAATTAAATGTTTAGGGTCCTCTGTAGTTCTGAGCTAGGACTAAGGAAGCTGTTACTCTCCAAGGAAATCCTGTATTTAGGACTTGGACTTGTTAAATACATAGATGCCTTGGTCCTGTGAGCTTTTGAATGAATTGGAAAGTTGGTGAGGGCACTGAGACGTTTTCCCTCTGTGCTGCCTCTTCTTTTCTGCCTGGCACAGCTCCTTGTCCTGTATCCAGCTGGAGACAGAAACAAGACTGATCTCTTTCCCTTTCTTCTGGCTCTGGTTCCTCGTCCCCAGAAAGCCTGTGCCTGAATTGGTCAGACAAAAATCGGTGTGACAGTGGCCCTGGGGCAGGGGCTGGTCCTAGGCTCCCCTGGAGCTGCTGCTGGCGCCTCCTGCGTGCTGGGAGGCTTGCTGGGCTCGGTCACTGCTGCCCTCTCTTGGAGAGAGACTCGAGAAACAGTTCCAGGTCAAATCCAGTTTTTTTTTTTTCTTTTGCTGTGGATGTGGAAGCTGTTCCATTAGAGCCCTTTACAGAAATAGTGCTTCTGTTGTTTTCAACTGATGCGATTGAGTAACTGAGTGTGCATCTGGTGTGACAGCAGTACTTTGATCATTTTCTCAAACATAAAATTACTAAAGCTTTTTTATTGCTGTAGTAGACTAAGCCAGGTACAGTGGTGGGGGCTCCTTGCCTTGCTCCTTGGGATTTACGCCATCCTGCAGCTGTGCCTCTGCTTAATGGTACGCAAAGAGACAGTCCTTGCTCTGCACAGAGTGGGCTGTGTACTCACAAACTGGGGACACCAAAGAGTCCCCCAGACTGCAGTGCCCAGCAGCATTGGTAGCAAATGGGGCTGATGGGCAGGAGACAAGAGGCAGGAATGCTGAGTAAGGGCTGGCATGAGTGGAGGAGGGGTTTGGAGGCTGGCACTGTGGCCCACTGAGCGGGAGGGCTGCAGAGCAGGAGAACGGGGTGGGGTGGGTGTGAGTCGGTGTTGGGGTTTTCTTTTTTTGACTAGGAGGCAGAGTATGTGTGCCTGCTCTTTGACTCCCACCTATAGGCAATTCTAGCTTATGTCCTCAGGATATTCCATGTCTAGTCCTGGGGTGTGTGTGGGGGTAGCTGCTGGGGCATCTTCTGAGAAGCAGAAGTGCACAGCTCTGTAGGTGTCTCTGTAGGCAGAGCAGATAGTTTGTTTACCTCCTCTGCCTGCTGTGTCTATCAGAGGAAGGCTTTAAGTACAGAAAGGTGACACTTTAATCAGATTTATGTCTATTCTGTTGGCTGGAGGGAAGTATGTGCTCAGCAATTTCTTGCAAATCAGTTTGGAAAATATGCAAAATTCATGATGACTCATGTGATTGATTACTCCTCCCTCCCTGTTTTGATATCAACATAGAAACCTAAGTTTCTAAGACAGCATTAAAAATCAGTTTATTTTATAATATCCCCCAGTAATATAAGGTCTGTTTGTGTCTCTATCCTTTTTTCATTGAGTAAATGTACCCATTGTACGCCATGGGAGGAGTTTGGCAAAGGCAGACAAGCTCCTTCTGCATGAAACCTTTCATCTTACACCTTCACCGCCTTTTCAATTCAATTACCTGCTGATACTGTTAATATGTGAAAAGCAGGGTTGGAAGCTCCTTCATGAGCTGTGGGTAATGTGTATAGTGGCAACTGTTGTTGCTGAGAAATATGCAAATTTAATTCTGTAAGGTAGGGCTTATTAGGGATTTATTAATTTAAATTGTAAAGATGATTGATTTCTCTCATCTCTCCCATCCAGGTTCGAGATGCAGCAATAAACAGCCTTGTGGAAATTTACAGACATGTTGGTGAACGTGTAAGGGCTGATCTCAGTAAAAAAGGATTACCCCAGTCTCGGTAAGCTGAGAATGTCCTTAGGTCTTCACTATTTTGGGGCTCCTTTTTATTCCCTTCCTTCCTTCAGAAGACTTCAGGAGCCTCATGATTGAACCTTTTACCAGGATCATTGTTTTATTTTTTATTTTTTAATCTGATAAACACTTAGATTTACTTAAAGCAGATCCTGTACCTTTGCCCAAGTATGCCACAGCATCTTTGGAAAACCACAAAAATTATTGCAGATGGTTAGTTAACTGATATAAGGGAATTAATATTTTTCCTGTATGTTCTGCGTACATGGAGAGGAGACACTTCAGAGTAGCTTGTGTTTATGCAACTTAGACTGTCATAAACAACAAAAACCCCCACCAAAAAAAACCCAAAAATCAATTCTAAGATTTTATTTTAAAAAAAGCAGCCTTCTTGCCCTGCCCCCCTCCCCCCAAAAAGCAACCAAACCTATGTCAAAACCAAAGCCATGTCCCTCTGCTTCTGCTGTTTCAGGTGTGTTAGAAAGCTGCTCTGCATCTTGCTTCCAGTGCTCAGGGCAGAGCTTGGTTAGACCTGAGGATGGAGTAGATGGCAACTTGTCAGTGCTCAGAGGGAAGAGGTGGTTTTAGAGTTGGGGTACATGCAGGTGGAGGCAGAAGTGTTGCCTCTTGTTCTCCAGTGGGAACATCTGCTCCCACAATTTGCCTTAAAGTAATAAACTCACTGTGAAGGAATGATGAGATGTGATAGGTATCTTCTGCTCTGCTAAATCTGTGACATATATGGGAAGGTGTCAGGGCTAAAGACAAATGTTGTGTCAATTTTGTTGTATTTCTGCAAATAGTGAAGATGGACAAAACGGTGATGAACTGGAAGTGCATCTACAATTAGCCATATCACATCTTCAGTAATTAAGTATTTTCAATTATATCTCAGCTTTTCCTTTCAGCTGTTGTGTGTTGATGTTGGTTTTTTAAATGTTCAAATAACTTCCTTGCATTGAGAAATTTTCTGCTGACATTTTTGACAGTGCTCCCAATGACCTGAGTGGAGCCAAATCTGTTCTAAAATATCATAAGATGTTAGAATTTGGCTGCCCAGGGAAGTGGTGCAATCAGCATCCCTGGAAGTGTTCAAAAGCCATGTGGATTTAAGGACACGGTTTAGTGGTAAAGATGGTGGTGCTGGGTTAAAAGTTGAACTCGATGGTCTTAGAGGTCTTCTCCAACCTTAGTGATTTTATGATTCTAATATTCCTAAAATTTAAATTCACTTGTTCATCGTGTATTTCTTTAACTTTCAAACAGGTTGAATGTAATTTTTACGAAATTCGATGAGGTCCAAAAATCTGGAAACATGGTCCAGACTTCAGTGGGTGAGTAGAAGTACTTGTATTCTCTTTTTGGTGCTTTTAGAACTTTTCAATTGGTGAGGCATTCAAATGGATATACAACAAGCATTCTGTTAGGGGAACCAAGTATGGTGATTGTTCAGAAATACACACAGTGCTTTTGCAACAAATAAAATGGATGTTTAGTTTGTCTGCTGTCTTTTTGTAGTATCAGAAGGAGAAAGAAGCCTAAGTTTTGAGATGAGAAGGTGCCATAGCTGTCTTCTTTTTCTCTTGAGTGACATTAGAGAAATACATCTTCTGTTCTCAAGTCCTCGTGCATGTAAATTGTTCATAAGGTAAATTAAAGAGTAATTTCAGAGAAGAATTGCCTTTTCAGTTTAATTCCCTAAAAGGCATGAAGAGTGTACACAATAATGCAGCAGTGTTCTGTTTAAAGCTCATGTTGTTTGCATTTTGCAGTTCCAGGGTTCTGGAAGTGCAGAGTGTCTCCAGAGTGTCCCAGGGTTCCTCCCAAATCTGTCCCAAACCAGGACATGAAGTTTGCATATTTTGTATGTTCAGGACCGACAGCCAGAGACCCTTATCAGAGCCTTAATTCTGTCTGTCTTTTCTGGGACTAGTATTTTGCTTACTGTAATAGCAAGTGTTTATTACTGTGTTAACAGATAAGATTATGAGCTAGGAAGTAATTTTAATAGGTATTACTCCTTGTTTAACAATAGATTTTTGTGAGAATTCTTGGTAAGGAAATGCATCTTTCTGCTGATAGTTGAGAAGAGTAGATGAAGAACCTGAGGTCAGCACTGTGGGTTCCTATTCAGCTCACATCCTCTGCAAGGCCAGGAGCAGGGGAGATGATGTCCAGTCATTCCCACCATGCTCTTGGAAGTCAAGAGAGCAGAGAGGTGTTTTCTCTTTTAAACAGGAAAAAATACTTTTTTCACTTCTGGGCACCTTTCTTCTTTCCATAAGCATTTTACAACACAGTAAAATTCATCCTTGCCGAAACAATAAAAATAATTGATTTGAAAATCTTGAAGTTATAGTTTGGATTATTCAGGAATGCGGTGTATTATCTTGTATGTTTGCGAATGATGAAGACCGGTTCCTCTGTCATGGAATGGGTTGAAATTGTGCTTTTGCATAATATGGGAGTGTTCTGTCCATACTGGTGGATGAGGCTTACTGGGTAAAAAAGTGCAGTTGAGAAACAAATGACCTTGTTCTTTTTTAGCAGGTTGGAGGGAAAGTAAATAATCCCTTACCAAACTTGTTTAGATTCCCAACCTCCAGGTGATTTCTCTGAAACCTTTACTCAAACTGAAACAGATTTACTGCTGATTCAACTTTCTTGCTTTCTACTTGGCCAGGCTAAGGTGGAATTTTTGTCCTGCTAGCAGTTGAATAGAAGGGGCTTAAAAAAAAAATTTAAAAAAAAAATTTGATGCATCATTGTACTATGTAGATTGCTGTAGTTTGGTGTTTCTAGGAGGCAGACTTGTGATCTGTGTATCAGATCTTGATGGTGTGTATCAGATCTTCTACTTTTAGGCTTCATTGAAAATTATTTTTTCTTCTATATCCTTTTGTCACTGTTTCAGTGAAAGATTGACCCTTTTTGTGCATCAAAGTCCCGAGACCTTATGATTTCCATCTTCTGTCCTTGACTCCTTTGACAGGCTTTCAGTACTTTGCAACACAAGTACTCCTGTATTCTTCACTGTTTAACCTGTTCTTCTGATGTCTCACTGTTCCTTGCTTGTGCTGTGGCAGGGTGCAATCCCTGGAGTCTGTGTTTGTGGTAGGATTTCTCCTCAATAGAATCTCCTGTATGAACATTGAGACAGAAAAGTAGTCTGGGGGAAAAGGGAGGGTGGAGTAGTGTTAAGGGTCAAAGAGACCAAAGCCTAGGATCTCCTATTGTTCTGCCAGAACCTTTTCATTTTCCCTAGAAATGAAAATGTCTATAGTTGGAGAATTAAAGTAGTTCTCATTTGTGAAGTTAGCAATGATAACATTACTTATTAACATCTTTTGTGTATGTTTGAGGGGAGGGTTCAGTTTCCTGTGGTGCCATAGGCTTGTTTGTTGCTTCTTCCTCGCCCTCCAAGCACAGCACAAATACAGTGTTACATGCTCGTCTTATCTCATGTGTCAACAGCTCTGTGCAACTTTCAGTTTATCTTTTTGAGACTGTGTAAGCCAGCAAAAGAAGGCTTATCTTCACCCGCAGTCACAAGTTTATTGTCACCTAAAGACAAGCTAAGTTTGTCAGGTTTCTTCTGTCCCTGACACTTTCTGAATAAAGGTGACACTTTCAGCAGTTGTCAAGAGTCACCAGGGAGGATGGTGGTAGATATTGCACATGCAAAAGATTTGCCTTTCTGAGGAAAGGTGGAAATAGCTCAGTCCTGTTAACCCTTTGAATCTGGCAGAATGGTTGGATGGGTTACTATGTGGATGTGCTTCTCTTCTGGGTAACCAAGAGCAGGCTGTTGGCTGAAAGGTCAGTCATAACTGAGCACCAGAGTTGTGCTAATTACAATGAGACTAGAAGGTGTTTGTCTAACCTCTTATTGCACAACACAGTCGTACTGGGCAGTTGGGACAGCAGCTGTGGCTTCTAGAATGGTGGAACACGGTAAAAACTGGTCTCTTGGCTCTGAAACCAGTGTTTGGGATACAGTTTCCTTTACCAGTTCACTGAGAATTCAAGTAAAAGGATGGAATTGCAGCAGCACTATTTGTATATCAGGAGTACTTTGGAGATTAGTGAGTTGCTCTAACTTGTTAAAGGTTTCATATCTAGTGGTTCCCAAGACAGAAATGAACAGAAATCTTACACAGACTACTAGAAAAGTTCCCTAAAACAATAGGACATTTTCTTAACCCACAGAAGAAATCTAATGAATCAACTCTAATCAGATTAATGTTTTGTTTTTGCTTATCTTTCTATGCTGTAGTCCATTAGTGCTTGTTTGAGTTTATCTTGGATTGTTTGATTGTTTTTCTGGCTAGGCTTTGTTTTTATCATTTAGTAACACAAGGATCAAATGCATAGTGGGGTGGGGGAGGTTTGCATAGTAATCTGAGGTGTTTCATTAAGTCAGAGGAGGTTTTGGCATGCCCAAGTATGCTGCTTGTTGCTAGGCTACCAGCAGCCCTTATAGCTAGAATATGAAGTTAAAATCCATGCTGGATTTCTCGATTATTCTCAGTGCATCTCTGTTTTGTTATTTGGCATATAATTAGTCAGCCTCTTGAAGCAAAAATTATAGTTTTTCCCCCTTTGGGCTTTCAGCAAGCTAATTATTTTCTGTGTAACTGCTTTTGCTAATTATGCAGATGCCTTATTCCCCTGGGACAAATACATTTTCAGCATGAAAGAGCCAGTAATTGCCAGCTAGTCAGCTGCTGCCTTTGAGTGGCATTGTATGATGATCTTTAGTAGGATGTGATACAGAGAGAGGCTATTGGACAGAGACTTCAAGAAATTCGTGCTGTATGGGTTTCCTTGGTATTATCTGGGAGGACCTTAACATAAACTGTACAGATTTTCCATGCATTTGAGTTGACTTTGAATCATGCTTGGACTCCAGAAGAGTTTATAATCAAGTTTCAGTACAGATTAAGAATAAAATAAATTATTTATTGAAAAATACAGGCTGAAAGGAATCAGTGACACAGACCAAAATGTTTTGGTGTTTTATGCTTTTGATCACTGTGATAGACTAATATGATATTCTTTGATGTAAACCTTCATTTTTTTTATGTACATCACAAAATTTTTGGGAAATGTGTTTATATCTGTGCATGAAGAGATACTGTGGTGGTGTTCTTGTGGGCAGGGAAGACAATTTCTTATTGATGTTGAATTTTGACTCAGAAGAGCAAGATTTAGGGACAGTGGAGGTGGTAGTGGTCTTGGGCTGGAAGGAAATCAAAGCAGGAGATCTCAAAGCCAGAATTCTGGAGCTGAGATCTCTCCCCCGCAGATACTTGCGCAGAGTAAGGTGAGGGGAGGATGCAGTTTTGGTAGCTGACTGCATAAATGTGTGCTCTAAGAGTAAGCAAGTTAATTAAAACAGTGCTAAAATAAAAGATGCAATAATTTCAGTTACTGAAAAACCTATGAAGAGGGAGCAATGCTACTTTTCATTAGAACTACTTCTATATTTGGGAGGGTGTATGAGACAAATACGCTATTTACTAAATTAATTCTGTTTGTGAAGTTGAGAACTTGGAATTAAATAGATGAAAACTGGAGCTATTTTAGATTCCTGTGTTTTGCTGGTAATAAAGCTGAGTCACTGGAAACTATTTTGATATATATTGTATGAAGGAAAATCACCCACATTTGCCAAGTGATGCTGTGTATCTGAGGGTGGAATATTGTTTGTTTGTCAACACACATCCAAGCTGCAGAATTGCAGATGGGAAGGAGGGACAACTGTCCAGGATAACAGATATTTTGTAAATGCTGCACTGTGCTTTTTTGCATTCGTACCTCCTTGTGCAATTACATTTCCAATATGGCTTGCTCTCTGTTAATACAGTTCTCAAGTTGAAACGTGAAGTGAAATAGAAGGTTGATTTCATTGACTCAGCATTTTTAGGGCATGAAAAAAAGCAAATAAATACCTCTTCACCTGTGTGGGAGCTGAGAGAGCAGTAATATCTGAGTGATATTCGAATGAGCACCATTAACTGATAGTGCATCCTTGTGGAAGGTACAAATGGACGAGAGGAGCTCTACTCCCTTTCTAACAGCTTTGTAAATAAGCATATTGCTGAAATTCTCAAATGTAGAAGGGGAGGGGTGTGAGCAGGCAGGCACAGGGGGGCACATGGAGCTCAGCTGCATGCTGTACAGGCTTTTATTTTGGAGGAGAGCTGGCAGTCGCCTGCTAGGTCACACAGCACAGGGGTGTAGGAGGCTGGCGAGTTAGCTGGTGATTAAGTTGCTGAGAAACATGTACTGAGAGACGTGTACTGTGGGGCTGCTCCCGAGCACAGTGCCC